GAGAATTAGTTTTTATTATACAGTATAAAATAAAAAAATCTTGTTGCTAAGGCTGACTTTGGATTAAAGAAAACAATTTCCTATGTATATTTTTAGATTTGCAATTCAGCTTTTGAATTACTTGAAAAACAAAAATCCTAAATTGTTTGTTTTTTCAATTTGCAGGTTCAGGAAACATTTATCGGTAAGTTTTTGTTCTGCAAATCGCCAAATTAATTTCCACTTTGTGGGTAAAATTATTTGAATTTTGAAGAGTACAAAATGTCGGGTGTATCGCTCGCGGTGTCTCCCAGAACAGAGTCTGTCCACACCGGTGCCGGGCCGGGAATGAAACCTGGCCAGCAGCAGCAACAGCCGGTGGTGGGAGGGGTGATGGGTTCGTTGCGGGTTATAGAGCTACAGCTTGTAGCCTTCATTATGGTTTTCTCCGCAAGCGGCCTCGTTCCCATCCTCGATTTAGTCTTCCCGGTTTTCAGTTCCGTGTACCTCCTTGCTCTCTCCCGCTGCGCCTTCCCTGCGCGCGGCAACTCCTCCTCTGCCTCACCGGAGATATTCCAAGGCGGTAAATTGTTCAGGATCTATGTCATCCTGGGAACCACAATTGGGCTTTTCCTGCCCCTGGCTTATGTCCTCGGTGGGTTCGCAAGAGGGGATGACCACGCCGTCCGGTCAGCCACACCCCACCTCTTCTTGCTGTCATTTCAGATACTAACAGAGAATATAATAAGTGGGTTGTCGCTGTTTTCGCCGCCGGTGAGAGCAATGGTTCCATTGCTTTACACAGTGAGAAGAATCTTTATCATCATTGATTGGATCCATGACGTTTGGCTCAACAAAACTCTTCCTGCAGCAGCCCAAACCAAGGTAATCATCCTTTTCCAAATAATAATTCATTTCGCATTATTTGAATCTCGTTTCTCTCTCTCTATACGAGTACAAGGAACTCTACAGACAGATCACATGGCTAATGGTTCTATATTTCTTTACCATCTCTATTCTTGATCATGTAGGATGTTGCTTGGTTCTGGTTTGGGAAAATCCTCGCAGTTGCAAACCTGCTCTACTTCTCCATCAATCTCTACTGCTTTTTACTTCCCTGTTTCCTACCTCGAGCATTTGAGAGGTATTTCAAGGAGAGGGATGAGGTTCATGCTAAGATGGCAGAGGATAAGCAATCTCAAGCTGCAAACAAGATCCAACCAAGTGATAAGAAAGCTGACTGAATCTGTTCACCTTGTTTTTTTAGAATATCACTCACTACATTTGAAGTAGTTGCTTTTCTCAATGGTCATTATAGTTTGTGTTTGTAAGGGAATGTTTTTTGTTCTACTTATAGCTTTTTCACTACCATAACAATATCACATGAATTTTGCTGTACATTTGGCAATCTATGTCGATAGCACAGGGTTCTCTTTTGCTTGGATTATTCCTTTGAGTATATGACATTAGCTAGGGATACAACCATACACTAACAACGAAATGTTGTTAAGTGTCATGTTGGAATTAGTCTTAAGATCTAAGGTTGTCTAATTTTACGTGTTGAAAAGAAAATGAAAAGGATAATGATTGGTATACTCTCCAATTTAACACACTATATAATATATTTTGATTTAACTATTAAAATTTGACTTTGAAAATTTTCCTGTTATGAATTCAAATTTAAAAATAATAATTATTTAATAAGTGTATTGTAAAATATAGTAAACTAGAGGATGTACTAATCATTTTTCAAATGAAAATTATGTGTAATAATTTAGATCCCAAAAATGGATAAAATATGCATTCAGCCAATCACTTTAATAAATTTAATGTTTTTTTACTCCTTTTCTTATATTATAAAGTTTTTAATTTTCAAATTTAAATTTTTTAAAATTTTAACTTCTAAACTAACAAAATTCGTTAACTTTCTATTAAAGTGAGAATAAAATAATTATAGAATTAATCTTTAAAAATAAAAAATATAATAATTTAGTTTAAAAAGTTTAAAAATTAAAAAAAT